AGTACTTTGCCTGCGAAAACATTTACCAACTTTCTAAGAGTTATGGTGTGTATCTACACAAAAAAATTTGGAGGGTGTGCAAAGGTTCGCAGAACTATATATAACTGGAACGTTGCGAACCACGGGAGCATTAGACAAAATTCAAAACTTCTATTCCATAGACCTAACCGATAAATCAGACTATGTGGTTCCTATGGTCAGTTTTAGAAAGGTGACGTACGCAAGACGTTTTGAAGAAATGGCTTCCATCACTTACTTATGGACAGATCTAAGATATGTGAAAGATTGAGAGAACATTGCTCTATTTTTCACAGTGAAAATTGGTAAGCCGTAGTGGTGAATTTTCAAATGACAACGCTGCGGTTCTCCATTTCTTTTTCTGGTTTTCGATGTCTTAAATTTCGAGGTTTCAAATGTTCTAATACCGAAAACTTTGGCCAGGTCCAAGGCTAATGTGATGATTCTCTCAAAAGGTCGGTTAAAGCCACGACCTACATACATATTTGAGAGCTTATAGCATTAAGTGTTGTTGGTGGTTCTATGCAATTTGCGGTAGCCATGCTGATAATTCGCTGGGTCCAGCGGCACCTGTAGTTTGGGAGTAGGAAAACCGCAATACATAGTTTTTAATATCAGTCTGCTGGATTTTTCGTTCCCGATGGCCACTGGAACTTCGACGCTTGTGAAAGAAAAAAGAACATTAGTGTGTGGCCACTGTGCNTGCGGTTCTCCATTTCTTTTTCTGGTTTTCGATGTCTTAAATTTCGAGGTTTCAAATGTTCTAATACCGAAAACTTTGGCCAGGTCCGAGGCTAATGTGATGATTCTCTCAAAAGGTCGGTTAAAGCCACGACCTACATACATATTTGAGTGCTTATAGCATTATGTGTTGTTGGTGGTTCTATGCAATTTGCGGTAGCCATGCTGATAATTCGCTGGGTCAAGCGGCACCTGTAGTTTGGGAGTAGGAAAACCGCAATACATAGTTTTTAATATCAGTCTGCTGGATTTCTCGTTCCCGATGGCCACTGGAACTTCGACGCTTGTGAAAGAAAAAAGAACATTAGTGTGTGGCCACTGTGTGTGCCCAACAAAGCATACAACACGTTTCAGTAAGAAAATTGGGGTTGTTTTCCACCAAGCAACCGGATGCGTTGAAGTGAGCTGCTGCGGCAGGGACTTTACGGACGTCAGTTTCTGTCGGAAGTTCCGCGGGACCAACGTCGACAGTGTTAATTTTTATGAAAGTCTAACACGTTCTACGCGAAGCGAGACTCTACCTACATCAAGCGTTCGGAGAAAAAAATTTCTGCAGCATTTCAGAAGATTTTCAGTTAAGCATCAGCAACATGTGTATCATCAAGAAGCAACAAGGCTGCAATATTGCGGTAATTATT